TGAGAAGTTACTGGTTTCGTTGCTCCAGGGTTGGGGAAATCTTTCCAAGGTCTATCGGCTGACAAAGTTCACCTTACTGCATCCACAGACCCAAGAACATCCTGCAGAGCTTGCTCAGCAGAATCGTTCAGCCTGTTCTGCTTTCTATCCTCTGACAAGGCAGTTGTCCCTTGGTGGCCTAAATGAGATGGCTGTTAATGTCCCTAGTATGCATCTGGGCATGCTGTCCACTGCACAGGTATCAGTGACTGAGAAGGCCCAGCCCCAATATATGCACTTCAAGTTCAGACAACACATCCTGTGATTTTTTTTTTCCTATGGCCAGGGTCTGAGTCCTGTGGTCCAACTGGGGAGTCCCCGAAGAAACCCCACCTGGGGTGACCTCAGACTTGACTCATGTGTGCCAGCCAGTGCAGGGTTAGGTTCTGTCTGTCACTTACAACAACCGATGAACACACAAACCTGATCTTCCCGCATTCCAACATGTGCCATGGCCTAGTTGGGGCAGCCTCCATTACCTGCCACCAGGCCTGCCCCCAGCCCTAGTTTTTGCACATGCCAGGCTCTTGTATCCTGGTCTGGCCCAGCCCATATCCCATGTGGCCCTTGTGCACACCCTTGGGTGCTGCAGTTTAGTTCAGCAGACCTACCCCAGACCTGGCCCTCATGTATGCTGACAGGTGCCACCTCATTGTCCAACCTCAGCCCTGGTTCTCATGTTCACCAACCGCAGGTACAGCCCAGCAGAGGAATACCCACAGTTCCCCTGCCAAGTGTGCTCCTTGCACTGGATTCTTGTACCTAGCAGGAGGTACTGCAGTTGAACTTGACATGACTCCCACCCAGTCCTGGCACTGGGTGGTGCTGCAGCCTAGCTGCTGACCTGAACCCATTATGTCTCCCATGTGTATCAGTGGGTGTAGCAGCCAAGCCCAACCTGGCCCTCCTCTAGTCCCAGCTATCACACTTACCAGTAGAACCAGCAGCCCAGCAAAGAAGTGCCCAGGTTTTCCTACCAGATCCACTCCTAGCTCCAGGTCTTCTGTGTGCCAGCAGGTGCTGCAACCCAGTCTGAGATAGCCCACCCCCAGTCTTAGCATTTGCCAGCAGATGCTATGGCCTGGCTCAGCCCAGCCCACTCCTAGTTCCAACTCTTGCCAGCAGATGCAGCAGCATAGACAAGCCTGGCCCATCCTCAGCCCTCATGTGATCTTGTGGGTGTGTGGACCAAGTTGGCCTCGCCTGCACCCTGTCCTGCTTTTCACTTGAGCTAGTATGTGCTTCCTGTCAATGCGTACTACAGCCCAGCCTGGTCTGTCCTGCTCCCAGCTCCAGCTCTCATGCTAACCAGTGAGAGCTGCAACGCAGCAGGGGAGTTCAAGTTTCCCTGCCAGGCCAGCTCCTAGCAATGGATCTTATATATGCTGGTGGGTGCTGCTGCCCAGACTGTCATGGCCAGCCCCTAGTCCTGGCACTCACTGATGGGTACTGCAGCCTAGCCAGGCTAGTCCACATCTGTTCCAGCTGTCAGTGATGGGTACTACAGCCTAACCCAGCCCGGCCCCACTCCCAGATCTTGCTATCATGTGAACCAGTAGGTGCCATGGCCTAGCCTGGCTTTTTCTATACCCTTTCTGGCTCTTGTGAGTGTCAGAAGGTGCTGGAGCCTAGCTCAGTTTAGCCCACCCCTAGACCTAGCTTGGTGGATCATTCATGCTGGTGGGTCCTACAGCCTCACCCAGCCAGATCTGCCCACTGCCCTGACTCCCACATTTGCCAGTGGAAGCTGCAGCCCAGCAGGGAGTTCTCAGGGCTGTGCCAGGCCCATTTCTAGCCCTGTTTTTTTTTTTTTTTTAAGATTTATTTATTTTTATTACAAAGTCAGATATACAGAAAGGAGGAGAGACAGAGAGGAAGATCTTCTGTCCGATGATTCACTCCCCAAGTGAGCACAATGGCCAGTGCTGTGCCGATCTGAAGCCAGGAACCAGGAACTTTGTCCAGGTCTCCCACACGGGTGCAGGGACCCAAAGCTTTGGGCCATCCTCAACTGCTTTCCCAGGCCACAAGCAGGGAGCTGGATGGGAAGTGGAGCTGCCGGGATTAGAACCGGTGCCCATATGGGATCCCGGGGTGTTCAAGGTGAGGATTTTAGCTGCTAGGCCACTGCTCTGGGGCCTAGCCCTGGGTTTTGCGTGTACTGGCAGGTGCCTGGACTCAGCCTGACATGGCCTGCCTGCAGTCTCAGGTCTTACTGGCACGTGTTGTAGTCAAACCAATGTTGAGCATGGCCCACATCTTGTCCTGGCTTTCGCATGTATTAATGGATGCTGTGCCGTGACCCAATTCTGCCTGTCCCCAGACTCAATTCCTATGTTCCCCAGTGGGAGCTGTAGTAGAGTTCCCCAAGTTTGCCTTTCAGGCCAGCTCCCAGGCCCAGGTCTCACACATACTGTCTGGTGCAGTGGTCCTGGTCTGCATGATCTGCCCTCAGTCCTGGACTTTTCATATGTGGACAGGTGCTGCAGCCTGTCTCAACCTGGTTGCCTCCTAGCCCTAGCTCCTGCAGCTGTCAGGTGGATTCCTGTCACCTGAGTTCTGTGGTCCAATGTGGCTCGGCCCATCATCACCTCTAGTTCTCCACATAAACCAGAGAGTACTGCAGTCCCATAGAAGTGGCCTACATGTCCCCTACAGAATCTGTCCCCAAATCCAGTTCTTTTGTATTCTGGTGTGTGCTGCAGCCCAGCCTGATATGGCCCATCCCATATTGCAACACTCATGGCCAAGCACTGCAGGCTAGCCTGGCCAGGTATGCCCAACAGTTCAGCTTTCAAATGTACCAGTGGGCTGTGGGCAGTACTATTTATCCCAACCCAGGTCTCCTACATGGGAGGGTGCCTTGGCCTGACCCATACATGTTCTCTAGTTGTCCTCTTCCAAACCATTTCACCTCAGTTCCCTCACCTGTCTCAGAGTGCAGTGGCCCAGTCCATGAAAGACTCCAGAAATCATACCTTCCCTGTCAAACATGCCCTCTGCTGTTGCTACTCCAGTATGTTCCCAGACCCCTTCTTTGGGGCCATCTGCAGCACCCCCCACCCACCTGGGTACCACAGTGACCTGCGCTCCCCACCTTCCCACATATCCTTTTAAAAAAATGGAATAGGTAACTATGCTTGCATACTGATATAGTTAACACGGATTTGACATTACCTGGGCCCAGAATGCCTGTCACCTACTGGCTGCTTCTCTCCTAGCAGTAGAACACTTGCCTAACTACAAGGCAACCTAAGCGGTTTCCTACAGCTGGGGTAGCACCATGTGAAAGATAGTAAAAAAGAGAAATGCTTTGCTTGAATAAGGGTTTTGGGATTTTATGGCCAGATATGAGCTGTAAAGCATAGAAAAGAATCTGAATAAACGTGATAATCTGAAGGAGTAGATGGATATGCCTGTTTGCCTTAAGATAGTTATTGATTTTGACTTGCAAAAGTTAGGAAGATTTCCATTTTTAATCCTCATGGATAATTATTATATAAGAAAACGTAAGCTTTTAAGTCATGGGACATTAGAAATTATGCTTTCTCAAGAAATTATCAGTTAGAAAAGCATTTTAACTAGCTAATTTAAATACACATTGAGCTGCTTTAACTAGACATACCAGAATAATCATAAAAGAAAGAGTAAAGGGGGCCGGCATGGCAGCCTAGCAGCTGGGGTCCTCGCTTTGCACTTGTTGGGATCCCATATGGGCGCTGGTTCTAATCCTGGCAGGCCCCACTTCCCATCCAGCTCCCTGCTTGTGGCCCTGGAAAGCAGTTGAGGATAATGCAGGGTTTTGGGACCCTGTGCCGGTGTGGGAGACCCAGAGGAGGCTCCTGGCTCCTGGCTTCAGATTGGCGCAGCTCCAGCTGTTGTGGTCACTTGAGGAGTGAATCAACAGACGGAACATCTTCCTTTCTACCTCTCTTCCTCTCTGTTTATCTTACTTTCCAATAAAAAGAAAATAAATATTTAAAAAATGTGTTAAGAAAGTGAAAAGGGTGAATGGCACTGTAACTTACCATAAACTGGTAATTTCACAGAGCATACTGTGCATTGGGTGGTGTTTCACCTTTCTGTGTTTTGGTTTTCTCTGCTGGGTGGTAAGAATGATAGACACTTTCTATTAGGAATGAGTTGTTAAAGTAGTTGGAGGTCTTGCTGCCTAGGACAGTGTGGAACTGAAATAAGTGTAAGTGAAAGATGTGAGTGCTAGTGTTAACTAGGAGCTGCTTTCCTGAGGGATGCTGCTTTCGAACAACAAACCTGCTTCTGTCACACGTTTGTTACTGTATGGTATGGACTTGAAGCTCTGAAACCTTGTGGTGTCATTACTTGGGAGACACACTGCTAAGGGAATCCCAACTCAAAAGAGTGAGCTGATAAAGAACTCAAAAGAAGTGGTGTTTTAAGCAGTTTTCCAAGTCATTCTAAGATTCCATGAAGCTTTTTTTTTTTTGGCTCATTCACTAGGAGTTCCTATGAGCTCAACATTAGTGATCAGCAGAATGGGGCAACATGGAGGTGGGGATGAGAGATAAACATGAAGAGGTCATTGCTTCTTGTGCCGCTGTAATTCATACCGGCAAAATCTCAGGGCTTAAATGGAAGAGCATCAAGAAATAGTGCATCCTTTGGGGCGTGCGTCCTTGGAACCTTACAACTTCACATCAGCGAAAGTTGTTATTTCTGCCAAGCCGTCCCAAACTGAGCTAGGAGAGAGGGATGGACAACGTGAACCATATTGCTCTGTCATCAGAGATGATTGAATTGCTTTTCTTGCATTTATGTGCTTCTATTAGTTCTAGCATTTTCTAATAGTTGTAATTTTTCTGAACTTTTATTTTCTTCTACCCTATTTATATGTATTTTCAGTGAAAATTGATTTAAAAAGGAGATTGATGAGATTCCTATGTGTTTTCTGCTCATGGCATGATGAAATGTTGTTTCTCTCTAGGACTGAATGGCAACAAGTGATCCTTTAAAGATGCAGAGGAAGTCGTTCCTGTGAAGTGGAGAAGAAAGCTGGAGAAAGTCAGGTCAAGAAAAAGCATGTTTCGCAGGTAAATAGAATGCTTCTGAATTTAAACAAGTTTCTTGTTCCCTCAGTTGTTGTAACTTTATAATCTTAGGTGTTTATAGCTGTGTTTGTTTTTGTATTGATGTCACATCTCCTTTTTTAAAAAATTCCCTTTTTATTGCCAAGTTTTTGGCCAAATGGTTTTTTTGGTTCTTGATTAATCTAAAAAAAATTTCTATTGAATGTATACTTAAGTGATACTTTAAATCATTTGGTTGGAGCCTCTTAAACCTCAGGTTTACCATTAGGTAATAGAAAAACAACATTATATAGGCCAATAGGTGCTGGCGTCGTAGCATATGTTTTTGTTGTTTTTTTTTTTTTTAGATTTAAAGATTTATTTGTTTATTTGGAAGTCAAAGTTACAGAGAGAGGGAGAGGCAGAGAGAGAGAGAAAGCTCTTCCTTCTGTTAGTTCAGTTGCCAGGTGTCTGCAGCAGCCGGGAATGGGCCAGGCTGAAGACAGGAGTCCAGAGCTTCATCCAGGTCTCCTGTGTGAGTGGCAGTGACTCATGCTGTGCTGCTTTCCCAAGACATTTCCAAGAAGCCAAGTCAGAAGTGGAGTAGCAGGGACATAAACCAGTGTTCCTATGAGATGCTGGCATCACAGATGCTGGAGTGACATGCTTCTCCACAACACCAGCTCTAAGTGTATTTTTTTTTAAGATTTATTTATTTTTATTGGAAAGGCAGATATACAGAGAGGAGGGACAAAGCTCTTCCATCTGCTGATGCACTCCCCAAGTGGCCACAGCGGCCAGAGCGGCCAGAGCTGAGCCGATCTGAAGCCAGGAGCTGGGAACCTCCTCTTGGTATCCCATGTAATAACACCTACTGGTTCACATGGGGGCCGGGGCTGGGATTGGGCTAAATGGGGCTGGGCTGCTGCACTTACAGCAAAGCTGGGACTGGGGATGAGCTCAGCTGAGCCAGGCTGCAACACTTGCAAATTGTTTTTGGAGAGTTTGAACAGATTCCCCAATGAGCCATTAGAGACTAACTGCTTTTGGTTATGTAACTATCTTTTTTAAGATATTACTCTTTTTAAAAGTTAAATCTTTTATTTTTGTTAGTGTTAGAATTGTACATTTGATTTAAATCCATATATTACTTTTTAAAAAGTTTTATTTATTTTTATTGGAAAGGCAGATTTTACAGAGAGAGGAAAGACAGAAAGAAAGATCTTCTAGGGCCCGGCGCGGTGGCGCAAGTGGTTAAAGGTCCTCGCTTTGCACGCCCGGGATCCCATATGGGTGCCGGTTCTAATCCCGGCAGCCCCGCTTCCCTTCCAGCTCCCTGCCTGTGGCCTGGGAAAGCAGTCGAGGACGGCCCAAAGCCTTGGGAACCTGCACTTGCGTGGGAGACCCAGAAGAGGCTCCTGGCTTCGGATCGGCATAGCATCAGCATCTGCCGTTGCGCTCACTTGGGGAGTGACTCATCGGACGGAAGATCTTCCTCTTTGTCTCTCCTCTCTGTATATCCGCCTTTCCAATGAAAAAATAATACAAATAAATCTTTAAAAAAAAAAAAAAGAAAGATCTTCTATCTGCTGATTCATTCCCCAAGTGGCCGCAAAGGCTGGAGCTGAGCTGATCCAAAGCCAAGAGCCTAGAGCCCTCTTCCAGGTCTCCCATGTGGGTGCAGGCTGCCAAGGCTTTGGACCATCTGCTATTGCTTTCCCGGGCTACCAGCAGGGAGGTGGATGGGAAGTGGAGCAGCTGGGCATGAACAGGAGCCCAGATGGTAGCCCAGCAATGACCAAGGATTTAGCCACTGAGCCATGGTGCCGGGTCTCCAAAATCCATCTATTTCAGCCAAGTTTATTAACACATACATAGTATTTGCTTGCAATTTTTATTTCTTGTGTCCTATTTTTCTACTTGTATGTGGGTTTCTTGTATTTGAAATGACATTTACCAGTACTTACTACTTTTAAAATCTGTTCTTAGAAACTTTCAGTTGAAATATAAAATAGAAAAAGCAAAATGGTGTGGTACAAATTTTCTTATTCACTTCCTATCCTTAAACAAACTGCTCACTCCCCACAAGCAGCAGCTCCTGCCAGTTTCTGATGAATCTTTCCGAAGTATTTTGGTTTTGATTTCAAAATAATTGTTTTTTAAAGGAACACTCCTGGATTGTTTTTTTTCATTTCCCAAGGTTCCTGGTTGCATATTTAGTTTTTATTTTTGTGTTTTCATACTTGAAGCAGTACTTTCTGTTCTTTTAAAAAATGGTTCATAGATTTCCTTAGCTGTTGTTTTACTATATTTTCTAGCTTTATCAGTGTTGTTTCAGAGCTTATTTTTTGCCAGCAGAATTTTGTTGGGTTTTGTTTTTCAACATATCTTGAAGATTCTGTATTTTATGTGGGAATTGATATCTTTTCATGTATGGTTGCTACTGTGTTTGTTACATTTCCTATGTTTTACTTGTTATTTTGTGTTTTTGTTTTATGGAGTATTACTAGATTTCTTTTAGCTTTTAGACAAATTCTAAAAGGGAATAATCTTTTAAATCCTCTTGGTGCTAAAAATAACATTTGTTTCTATGTTTGTTTACTGTGATCAAAGAAAAAGAAACTCCTTTCTTGCCATAGAAGGAGATCCAGTTTCTCCCTTTTTTGGCATCTTCGTACTATTTCTTATCTTCCTTGGTCAGTTGTTTTTTTTTTTTTCTTTTTGCATTTTATATTTGTTCTTTGAGATGTATTAATTCTGTCAGTATTTCACTGTTTTTGATTTAGTCAGTGACCACTGAGACCTCAATAAGCGTGGAGCTCGGGACAGAAGATAAAGATCAAGGAAGTTCTGCCGCTGCCTTCAAGGCCCCTTTTCTGGTTCTGGAAATGGCATTTACAGATACATCAGCACGTAATGTGTCAAATGTGTTAGAGACATAGCAGCAAGAGAGTGACATTTGACAAGTGGTGAAGGTGTTGTGACAGCTGAACATCACTGCTTATAGCACCGGGTGTTGGTGAGACAGGATGGCGGTCAGCATCCTGAGGCTGTAGCAGCCAGTACATTGTTCTCTGGAAGACTGAAGCTGAGATTAGATAAAGGAATTTTGGGTTTAAAGGTTTTTTTTTTTATTGTAAGATAAATGAGCCACAAGCTTCAGGTTATTTTTTAAGGTTGATTGCTGGTTGCTTTACTTGTAAGACTGAGAAAGAAATCATCTCTCTGCTAGTTACTCTGTTGGGTTATGAGCGTCTCGGTGTTAGAGATTTATTCCTTTATGTCTTCTGTATGTCCTTTATGGCCTTCCCAAGCCACAGTCAGGGAGCCGGATGGGAAGTGGGGCAGTTGAAACATGAAACGGTGCCCGTATGAGATTCCAGCAAGCATGCCTGTAAGGCGAGGATTTAGCCACTAGGAATAAATATATAGAGAGGGAGGGAAACAGAGAGAGAAAAGCCTTATGAGAATGACACTTTCCATTCCTGTTTCACAGCTGAGTAATCTGAAGCACAGAAAGATTAAGGATTTTGCCCAGAGGAGTCAAGGTAATAAGTAATGAAGTTGAGATTTGAAGCCAGGCAATTTGTTAGGAGAGTTTATATCCACTACTTGATGTTAGAATAATATGCAGTATTGCCCAGATTCCTCACCATATGCTATTGTTACATAATAAAAACTAGTGTTTATAATACTGACTGCATGTCAGAAACAGGAGTAAGTGCAATATGTATATTACCTCATTTAGTCCTTACAAAGTCCCATGGAACACATGCAGTTGTTGTTCCATAGAGAAGGAAACTGTGTGCCTGCTTTGGCAGCACATATACCAAAACTGGAATGAGACGGAAACTGAGCTACCAAGGGGTTCAGGTTAAGCAGCTTGTAGTACACAGCACTACGGTGTGGACCTTGTAAATATTCACAAGTGAATGAGAGAACTCATGAATAAAGATGAAAGGAAGGCTTCGAAAGGAAAGTTCATGCAAGTAATACATATTGAGTGCTTTATTTTTTTCAGCAAGAAATTTTTTTTTTCTAACATCTTATGAAAAGTTTCAAATATACTAAAAAGTTGATGGGATCTCAGAGAGCAGCCATACACCCACCACTAGGTGTGGACTGTTAATATTTTACTGTGTGCTTCTTGTTCCCCTGGCCAGACATCTGGCCTCTTTATTTATTGTCATATTTCCTGTTAGTCTTTCAGCATGCAAATCAGAGAGTAGAAGTTTGTTATTTTTTTATGGTTAATATTTATATATTGCAGTTAAATTGTAGCTGAATATTTGCCTGGTTTTGACAGATGCATTGGCATGTGTAACCCAACTCCTACGAGATACTGCCCTCCCCCATGAAGTTACCTCATGCCCTTCTTGATTATGGCCCACCCCTAATCAACTTTTTTTATTGTGCTATCTATTATAAAAGAATTTGTGGTGATTCATTCAGGTCCGTGAAATACAGTAAGAAAACATAAATGAGAAGGGGGTTAAAGAAAGAAATCGAGGTGGTAATATTGAATGGGGCCAAGAACATATCAGTGATATTTCAGGAACATTTATGAGTAACATATTGCTCATTCTTCATAGGAAATACACAGAATTATTTCCATTTTAGAGATGGAGACTACAAAGTTATGTGTCTAATAAGTAATAGACACAGTCCATACTCTTTTCACTTATCCACACACACAAAAAAAGCCAACAGATAAAACTAAAGCTCATTTTTAGTGTGTGAGTATAAGTTTAGATAATAAAATATGCTCAAACGTCTTGTCACATTCTGTTGCCTTCATCTCACTGGCCATTTGGCCATGGGAGTTGGCAAGGATGGAGCACTGCTTTAGTGCTGCACTCCTTGCAAGGCACCTAATGGCAGTGTTGACTTTAAATTGTCCTGCTTTGGCCCTAGAGATGGATTCTGTATCTGCAATGAGATGAAACGGTGCCTTTTTAAGGTCTGGTGGTAATTACGAGAGAGAAGTCTTGAAATAATCCTGTTGACTGGTGAATATGGCCACA